AGGATGTCTTTCTATTCTGTAGCATTATGATTTCTCTTCACTGTAACTAATGGACCCAAACCTGTTTCATCATGACACTGCCCCTGCGCACAAAGCATGATCCATAAAGACATGGTTTGCCCATGTCAGTGTGGAAGACTTTGAGTGACCTGCACAGAGCCCTGACCTCAACCCAAATGAAAACCTTCTGGATGAACTGGAATGCTCACTACTCACCAGGCCTTCTTGACCAACATCAGTGCCCAACCTCAGTAAATCTCTTGTGGTTGAATAAGCACACATCCCCACACCCATGCTCCAAAATGTAGTGAAAAGACTTCGCAGAAGAGTGGAAGCTGTTTTAGCAGCAAAGGGGGTGAATAACTCCATATTAATGGCCATGGTGTTGCAAAGGGATGTTCAACTAGCACATTTCGTTGGGATGGTCTGGTGTCCACATACCTTTGGCCATATAGTGTTTTTGATGGATGCAAAAACTTTTTTTTTTGACTGGGTAGGGACAGGTTAAATGAAGAATTTAATTATGTAGAGTCACTGCCCTGTGACTTTATTACCATTAAATCCAATTCACACTGGACATTTTTAGGAAGCACTTTTTTAGGAAAGTCTAAGAGATGTCACACAAGGCAGTCATGCTTCCATTTTAATAAGTATTTCAATCCACACCAGCTGCATGAGAGTAAAATGTGCACATTGCACTGCTCTTGTTTTATGTTGAACTGAAATTCCATTGAAATCCATTGAAATCTTATAATTACACACTGTATAGATATATAGAGAATATTATAGAATATTATTTTACAAAGATGTCATGATAATATAACATGGAAGGAACAGTGTTTATACTGTAGTGATACTCATGGATCACTGTCTCATGTCGTGTTTTAATTGAGCTTTGTTGTAATTACAGCTGGCCCAATTTCATCTGCCTATTGCCCATGCTTTGTTGTCACAGTTGTACATTTCAGTGTTAGTTTTCTTCAGAAAAATGAAAAGTGCTGTTGTGCCACATCTGGTGTGAATTTGGGGTCAAGAAAAAAGTATTTAAAAAGTATGTCAAGGATTAACTAAGCCTGCAGATATACTCAGCTTAATATATCTGCTGCTTGGAAGGGGGGAACATCTTACTGAGATCTCAGGCAATTGCTTGGTTTGCCTGCCCTCCATCTTTAAATCAGAGCACAGAGGTTAGGATGGAGGTTATAAATGAACTTGGACTATGGGAAGGCCATGTGTGTTGCAACAGCATCATCCCCCATAGAGTTATTCATATTCTAGCACTTCAGTGTTGAAGTCAAAAACAGGGAAATGTGCAATAAACAACTTCTTGTTAGCAGCAATGTTAGCTGTAAGATATTGGGTAATCTCTCTGGCACAGAAACAACAGAGAACACTGTCTTGCAGTTATATAATAGTGACCATAAGTGCTGTAAATGCAGTATCTAAAATAATCTTTGTAATTTATTACCAGCTGAAGTGTCTAGGAACTTCAAACTAACTAACACCAGCTTTAATGATCTAAGCTAGCCCTCCTGCTCTTCAGAAGAAACTTCAACGTATTGTTTCATTGTTGTTTCCTTGCCATCATTGAATTGTGGCCATTTAAATGCCTCTCAACCTAGCATTCCCTCCCCTTAGTTCCAATCTCATCAATCTAACACACATACACACTCTCTAATCTAACAGATAAAGCATCCCCTGTGGTCTGTCAGCAGAAGAGTTTTTTGCGTGAAAGATCAAATCCTTGCATGTTGAGTCCACAATAAACCATATCTCAGAGCTACCTGCTTCTGTACTGTAGCAGATTCTGTGCTGTACCACACTATCATATTTCACACTCATCTGTGTCTTCTTGGCTAGCCTTCTGGCTGGGAACTCAAGAGACAAAGACAGGTACAGAGGAGGGAAAACAGGCGGATGTTAGAAATTATTTTAAGGGCTGCTTACAGGCTCAGTACAGAATAGCAAATAATCCAAAATTTGCATTTTAGAAAAACAAAAACAGATATTACAGATTTTAAATACAAATGTTTTCAACATAATCTCTTTATATGGCAACTGTAGCACATGTATGATTACCACAGACAAGATTTTCGACACTACTGTTTTTTTTTAAGTGAAAAAAATGGAAAATAAGTTTTGTTTACTCAAAACTTACTAAGGATTCAAAATTCCTCTCTGTGGTAATCAGACATACAGTACAGAGTCAGTAGCTAGAGATTAAGCAGAAAAAAAAATGCAGGAGTATTCCTTTAATAGGAAACTTTCAAGGTAAAATTTATCCAGTCAGAAGCTGCCCCATGTGGAATAAACCCACATAAGCTGTACATCAGACCTGATTCAGAGAAAGACGAAGGGAGACAGGCAGTGTGGACCTGATTGGTGGTGATAGCTTAAATCTCTTCATTAAGGTAAGCCAGATGGCCTCTTGCCTGCATCAGAGCAGGCGTGACAGCAGGAAATCTATTAGTACCACAAAATCAAACTAGCTAACTGCCTCTTTCCTTTTCTCATCTAGCAAAAACAGACCAGCACAGCCACTGTCGAATTTGTTTTGTCCCTCTCGTATGTTATCTAGTCCACTTTGTAGCCTTTCTTTTTGGTTATCATATCTAACTCTCTCTCACCACTGCACTACGCTGTACTTGCCGGTATACTTCAAACGGAAAAGATGTTCTGACACGAAAAGACATCTATAGCAAAAAGAAGTAGTGGTTTCAGTTCCATTATGACATTTGTTATGATACCTCTTCCATCTGCAATTGGTCTAAATATCACATGGCTGGTTGTGTCACTATATGCGTCTGTCCACTGTTTACACTCTTGCTTGAGGTTGTAGAAGCAGCAACAAAAATACATTTGGGGGAAGATTTGAATATTTTTGTCTCTCTGCTACATTCACTGCCAACACTGCTGTTTTTGTTTATACTATATGTTCAGCTTGACAAGGCTGCCATGCCTACTTTAAAAAAGCAGCCAAAAATGAGCCCAGTAATCCAAATATGTCCCTTCCACACCCTATACACTGTTTTCTAAAGTCTAACAGCATGGCTACTATTGTAAAATTACATTTTAATATTTAAAAAGTATATCATGCAATACATTTGTAATGTGGCAGCATTTAAAATATGACGTTTCCCGTGACAGCAGTTTAAAAGAAGTCCAGTGCAAAACCGATCTGGAAACACTGTGATGTTATGAAGTCTGCTCGGCTCACAACTCTCTCAAAACCAGACTGCTCTAAAAAGACATTCACTGAGTCTATTTTGAGTATACTGACACCGATGTGTTCATGGAGGTTCTTTTTTCCATTTAGTTCTTTCATCGTTTGACGTGTTCTGCCATGTTTACTTCTCAAATCTGCAAAAATAAGGTGATAGTGGATGCGGGAATGTGTCAGGAGGAATGAAAGGGAGAGATCCTAAATAAAAAGTTCATTTTTAACACAGAAGCTATGAGGGAGGTGGAGTTTCTGACGTGGTGCTTATTCCAAACATCAGCTATTTCAAAACTCCATTTTGGTTCACTTCCTGTGGTTGGATCAAATCAGGGCTGAATTATTTTCTCACTTCCATCAAACTGCACTAGAGATTGTTAGTTAGTGGACCAGGATAATGTCTCTCCGACATTCTCAATTTTGGATGTTTTGGTCCCAATGTTTGTTTCAAACAGATGAAATACTGCATTATGTCAAAGTTTTATTACAGCCTTCTCATTCTTTCTTATCATCTCCTCTTTCCTTTTCTTTGCATTCTCTTTTCTTTTGAAACATTACCTCCTGCTCCTCTCTCGTATTTAGCTGATCTTGCTATTATCTCTCTGCCTATTCTTTGATTTGTCTCTGTCCATCCATCTCACCTCCTACAACCTATCATTGTCCTCCTACAGAGGGTTACACTGCAGACTCCAGAGTTAATTAACCTCAGATTATTGCATTTCATATTTCCATGCATTTTTGGCCCTGGCACACAGGAAGTCTGCAGTCCAGCGGGAGGGAGAGCAATCAGATGCTCAGTTCTGCACTCCTGATGAGACCCACTTTCCTCTGTGCTGCAGAGCTCAGAGACCCACTCAGACACTCACACTGTGGCTCTGAGTACATCTAGTAGCTGGTCTGGCGTCAGCGGTTCTGTTCGCTTGTGATGATTACAAGCATAGAAGCAGGTCTTGGATCTGCAGTGCTTTGTGATTACAGAGGTTCGGGTCTCATCTGGAAACACTCAGATCAGCCACTCAGAACTCAGCCAGTCAGAACAAAAATGATTCACTTTTAACACTACTCCCAATGGCTATAATCTTCTCAAAATTGGTTCAGAGCATAGGCTGATAAAATGGTCCACTGTGCAGAAGCATTTCTACCCAGATATACTTTTAGTGCATCAGTAAAGAATATACATACATGTGGTACATATAACATCCTCATTCCAGTTGATTAAGGCCATCTGTAGTAATTAGTTGGATCAGATGTAGCAGAGTAGGCTTTGTGGGAAAGTTCTCCAGCAGGAGGTTTGGGGATGACTGATACAGTATATTAATCTATCATGCAGAGATGCTAGAGCTACATCAATCTACCAGGCAGTAGCAGCAAGTGGAAGGCTGTAAAATGGATTAAACCATTTGAGCCCCTGCCTGGCCCAGCGGTGATCTAGTAATCTCTCAGGCAATTCACCCTAGACAACTCTGACAAAAACAATGCCTCAGGATGGCATTTTCATCTCTTCTAACACAGATAAACACCTTCCCTATGAGCCACAACACAGCACTAGACATGATACAGGTAGCTGGGCTCTGCAAATTGATCCCATCATCCATTTACAGACAAAATTGGGGATAAAAATGATGTCTAAAGGAGGATGTGGAACATTATTGGATTTACTCTGAACTCCAGGGCAGGATAATGAGAGACTGTGTATTGCTCAAGGTGTCTAGGAAATTTCCAGGTAGCCTGTGTGCTTGCCAGAAGTTTTCAAATGCTTTTTGGGCCCCAATGGTATCAAAATGGCAGTGGTGGCTCAGTGGTTCAGGCTCTGGGTTACTGATTAGAAGGTTGGGGGTTCAAGCCCCAGCACTGCCAAGCTGCCACTGTTGGGCCCTTGAGCAAGGCCCTTAGCCCTCTCTGCTCCAGGGGCACTGTATCATGGCTCGCCCTGACCCCAAGTCCCTAATAAGCTGGGATATGTAAAGAAAAGTATTTCACTGTGCTGTAATGTATATGTGACAAATAAAGGCTTCTTCTTCAAAAAAAAAAAAAATTAATACATAATCATACTTTAATTGGTTTTCACTAGAGTAAGGCCTGGTCATATGATTGAGGGCAGCCATGTTTAATTAGCATCAATCATAGTGCTAGCAGTAATGTGAAAGTAATAGATTTTTATCAGTCAAGTTTCTGTAGTTTGGGTCTGTTCCTCTCTCAGGCAGATGGATGCACAGTGAGCCACTTCTTGAGATAAAGGATGCCAAATAGAAAGGAATTCAATCCAAATGGTCCAAAATGCTAATGAATGGAGCATCGTGCAAAACCTTAGGGCGCATGCTGGATTTATTCCACTGGTAAACAATCATTATGAACACCTGCTTTTTCAGCCCCAATCATGGATTAAATAGGACGATAAAGAGCCAACTGTTTGAAAAGAGGTTCTGTCCTGCTGCTCAACTGATTGGATACAAACGAGTCTGCCAGTTCACACACTGCAGGGGGGTTAATGATGGCATTCTGGCCAACAGAGCCAATGACTACGAGCCAGTCAACAGACTGCACATGAACTCCAAACACAGGAATGCCATTTTGTACACATGTATGTGATAGACACATGGACAGCAACTGTAATCTGAAGCCACCCAGATGTGAAACCTGCTTATCTTCCCCAAAAAAGACAGCGGACTTGACAGCTTTGGCTGATCGATGCATCACATCATCATCCTGGCCATGGACAAGACTGTTCTGCATGCTAGATGATATATTTATAGTGAGCATCCATGTGGCTGCCTGAGGTGAAGTAAGTAAACATCATAACAAGACTTTCCCATGGAAATCCATTTCCAATCAACAGAGTAGCTCAATTATCCTTCCCCAATTTAGAGCTTTATTCCACTTTCATATATTTTTAACTGCACAATACACCACACAGTCCCTACACTGAATGTTAATATGCATAGGTGATCTAGCATGGGATCAACACCTAATGAATATATTAGTGAATACAGACAAGAATCCCAAGAAGGCCAAAATGCAAGACAAATGAAATCTTAGTCACCTCAGACATCAACCTAATAAAACATTGTTATAATGCAGACAGTTCATAACATGTCACAAAAGGCCTGCAAATAAGCTGTCAGTGCTTCTATTTATAAAAAAAAAAAATCATACAAGCAAGAGAATCAGCAGAACACATCCAGACCTGTCAAACCTTTCTCTGAGAAACTGAGACAACCCACAAGAAACATATTATTTATCTGTTCTGACAGGCATGATGCATTACACAGTTCAATTCTACAAATCTACTCCATCTTCCTCTCACTTTCCTTCTCACTCTCATCCTATGTTTTGCTCACACTCACGTTTGGCATCTAAATGTTTTATGTACATATTGATGTTAGATTTAGGACATTATGGGCATTGAAACGGAGAAAAAAAGGGATGCATATAAAATGAATACTGGATACATATCAAATGAATAATGAAATCTATCTACATAAATTACTGTATATAAAGAATAAGAAATATAGTAGTTTTGAATGTTAAAAATATCAAGTGTCAGTACATTTATGACTATGCAAAGGGATTATTTGCAAATATTAAGTATTATGAAAAGATGCTAAACAATAATGTGCATAGGCTCCCTATTCTTTTAAAAATATATTTAAAAAAATATTTTATGTCTTCTTGCGGTGATAGTTGCGGTGATAGTTGCAGGTTAAGAGTTTTTATTATAGGGCAGGCAAACACATCCAAAATATGAGGCAGAATCAAGGTCAAAATACAGGCAGGAGTCGAATGATGTGCAAACAGAGTTAACTGGGCAAAAGACAAAGATATAAACCAAAGAACCAGAATCGTGATCGTAACCATAAACACAGTGACGCCACTCCTCCAAGGCTAGATTTACTGCCAGGAGTTCTCGGTTGCCAATGTTGTAGTTACGTTCAGTTGGGGACAATTTCTTGGAGAAGAACGCCACTGGGTGAAGCTTAGGTTTCTCTCCAAACCTCTGTGACAGCACCAGCCCCACACCAGTCTCAGAAGCATCTACTTCCACCATGAAGGGCTTAGAGGGATCTGGGTGTTTCAAGATGGGGGCCATGGACCTTGGTCCATGAGACGAGAACAAGAATTGTGAAACGAGACTGTGGTTCCATTAATTCACATTTCTCCCCTTTCACAAATAGTTGGTTCTCCAGGAGCCATACAAGGACCCTTCTGACATGACAGACTTGATCCTCCTTGGATGACGAGTAGATGAGAATGTCATCTATGTAGGAGATGACGAACTTTCCGATCATGTCCCGATAGCTCATATGGCATGACACAGTACTCGAAGTGGCCAAAGGTGGTGCTGAAGGCCGTTTTCCCCTCACGGATCCAGACGAGATTGTATGCAATGTGCAAATCAAGCTGGGTGAAGATGTTAGCCTCTCTGAGTTGTTCCTGTGCTGCAAGGACTAATGGCAGTGGGTAACGATACTTTACTGTGACCTGGTTTAATCCACGATAATCAATGCATGGTCGGAGCCATCCTTTTATGCTCCTCAAAGAAAAATTCTACCGATGCTGCTGAGGTGGAAGGATGAATGTATTCTTGTTCTAGAGCCTCTGTCATGTAATCAATCAAGATGTGATCGAAGTGTAGACTTTCAGCTTTATTTTAAGAAGTTCCACAAAAATATGACATTTACCATTTAGGAATTACAGCCAAAGGTCTGGAGTTGGTATCAGGTATTGAGTTGGCATTTGGCAGCTGTTCGACTGGAGCTACCAATATGAAGTCCAAGGAGATTTCAGTGCAAATGAAGGAGGCCATCATTAGGATGAAAAAAACAAAAGAGACCTATCAGAGAGATAGAAAAAAACTTTAATAGTGGCCAAATCAACAATTTGGTACATTCTTAAAAAGAAGGAATGCACTGGCGAGCTCAGCAACACCAAAAGGCCTGGAAGACCATGGAAGACAACTAAAGTGGATGATCGCAGAATCCTTTCCTTGGTGAAGAAAAACCCCTTCACAACATCAACAGAAGTCAAGAATACTCTGGAGAAGGTAGGCATATCATTGTCAAAATGTACAATCAAGAGACGCCTTCATGAATGTAAATACAGAGGGTTTACAACAAGGTGCAAACCACTGGTAACATTCAACAACAGGAAAGCCAGATTAGACTTTGCCAGAAAACATCTAAAAAAGCCTCCCATGTTCTGGAATAAGATTCTTTGGACTGATGAAACCAAGATTAACTTGTACCAGAATGATGGGAAGACAAAAATATGGCAAAAGAAAGTATCAGCTCATGATTCAAAGTATACCACATCATGTGTCAAACATGGTGGAGGCAGTGTTATGGCATGGGCACGTATGGCTGCCAATGGAACGGGCTCACTGGTGTTTATTGATGATGTGACTGCTGACAGAAGTAGCGAGATGAATTCTGAGATGTATAGGGCTATACTCTCTGCTCACATTCAGCCAAATGCTACAAAACTGATAGGACACTGCTTCACAGTGCAGGTGGATAATAACCCTAAACATATAGCGAAAGCTTTTTGAAGGCAAAGAAATGGAATATTCTTCAATGGCCAAGTCAGTCGCCTGATCTCAACCCAATAGAGCTGCTTTTCACTTACTGAGGACAAGACTGAGCAAAAAGGAGCAGCAACTGAAGGTGGCTGCAGTGAAGGCCTGGCAAAGCATCTCCAGGGAGGAAACTCAGAATTTGAGTTTTGAGAACATGGACTCCAGACTTCAGGCAGTCATTGAGTGCAAAGGATTTACATCTAAGTATTAAAATTATGGTTATATTTACAATTATGCCACTTGTCCAAATACCTTTGAGCCCCTTAAAATGGAGGTGCTTTGCTGAAAATGGCTGTAATTCCTAAATGGTAAATGCCATATTTGCCATTTGTGGAACCTCTTAAAATAAATATAATATAGATAAAAATACTTCAATCACATCTTGATTGTTTTATTTCAGATCCATTGTGGTGGAGTATAAAGGCAAAATCACAAAAACTCTCACTGTCACTGTCCAAATACTTCCGGACCTAACTGTATGTGTGTGTGTGTGTAAATATATATATATATATATATATATATATATATATATATATATATATATATATATATATATATATATATATACACACACACACACACACACACACACATACATACATACATATATGTCTGCATTAGTTTCTTTTTACTTCACAACATAAAAGTACATCTATTAGCTTTTGAAAGGCAAGGCTTCCCTTCAGAAGAGCAGAGTCGGGTGTATAGACAGCAAATAGGGGATTATGGTGTGCTATTGGCAGCCTCTGTCTGTCAAAACAACTTAAAGACAGTAAAACTCTTCAAATACTGTTCTAATGGAATGAGTAATATAAAACACAGTACAGTAGAGCACTTCATAACATACTCTGTAATATGTGATTACATAGGAAAGGAAAATAAGAAGAAATAGGAAGATAACACTGTGGATAAGAGCTGCACATTTGTAAGAAGCTATGTTTTTTTTATTATTATTTATTTATTAATTTTACTAGAAGAAACCCCTACATCTTTTTAATTATGTAGCCAGCTTCTTATTCAGTACTTACATGAATGCTACCTCTTTACCAAAATCCTATTTAACTACATTGCTGTAATACTATAAAACTGAAACCCTTCATATATCATGCTCGTTAAATAGATGAGCAGCTTACTAACTGGATATTTAACCATGATCTTCATGTGTGTCTGAGTTCCTACTAGAGCACAACATTAGAGAACAAGAACACACATTCTGGTTAGCCTAAGTTAACTGGATGTACTTTCACATTATGCTTCAAAGCATGCTGGTCATGGTTATGAATGA